ACTCGGCACAGATGTTTCTGTACACTATGCCAGCCACTTGGTTATGGCCTTCCATGTATGCCCTGCCTGCTAGCATCTTGCAGCCTGCTGTTATGTGCTGGATTGTCTCAGGGGCATCTTTGCACAGCCTGCACCTGGGGTCCTGTCTGGTATGGTAGACCCTGTCCTCTATTGATCTTGTACTTAGAGCTTGTTCTTGTGCTGCCAGGATTAGTGCCTCTGTGCTGTCTTTCAGTCCAGCTTTGTCCAGCCACTGGTAGGATTTTTCCATAACAGCTACTTCTACTATGTGACGGTGGTACATACCGTGCAGGGGTGAATTTTCTCCATAATTGAAGACCCAGGGGCCAGCCTTTCTGGGGCCCTAAGCAATGCCACATTAATTCATAATACTTAATAATATCACACTTGCAACATTTGTCTTTTTGTTTTTAGAAATAGTTTACCTCCAGTCAGCCCTTCTCCAACTTCTCTCTTTTTTTGGTCTTCACATTACACTGACCCACTTTTAGAAAAAAGTAAGAAAAACACCAATTAGTGTTTCAAAAGACATTCATATATGGATCCACTATATTCAGACGTAAACAGATAAAATGTCAAAGAAAACCCAAAGTCAAGGTACTGAAAACTATATTCTAAAAAGTCTGGATCCTTCCACAGTCACACTGTGGTTCAGTTTCTGCTACAAGGACTGAGTGGGTATAGACCAAGCCATGTTGGCTTTGACTGAGCTGCAAAATTAGCTTTTGGAGGGAGGTAGGACAGTCACACGGTTGTGTTGGGATAGAGAGGAATGTAACCCACTTCTCTGTCAACAAATTCCTGTTTATGTCTGGTCCATGACAATGGTGTATAAAATGTGAGTAAAAAGACACTATATTAAAAACATTTGTGGTGTTTACCAGTTCAGCAACAATTTAAGCTTTATGGGAGAAAGGCTGAGGCTGAATATGGAATCAGTGAGGACAGAAAAACTAGATTAGGGTTAGGGTTAGCTCTTATTGCCCTCCTCTGCCAGCTTGTAGCCACCTACACTTGACATCCTACTAATCTTAAGTATATGGTAAGTAAAATGGAATCAAATGGTGTTGGTAAAGTATTCATTTGCAATGTTCAACAGTGCAATGCATGGAAGACAGGCACTCACCAAAACTAAAGATTACACAGGGTGAAATCACTATTGGGTCTTCCTTTCTGGTTGTAGGTGTTCTAATGAGAAATATCAGCTGGTACCAAATTGATGATGCAAAAACAAACAGGCAAACAACAAACAGAAATCCCCCAAAACAAAACAAAACAAACCTTCAGGAGCTGGGAGTGGAGGATCAAGGCCCAGTGAAATAAACTGTCTCTGCTGTCACCTGGTGGACTGAGATGCCTAATACACCTCATATGAAGCAGTCAATCGCTGTGCATGCTGACTGAAAATAAGATGTTATAGACATGAAGACACACACACACACACTTGAAAACCCAGTTTACATATAATTTAAACGTATGCCAAAAAGCTCTACAGCGGTTCCTGATCTTTAGAAGATGTACTAAAACCACAAAATAAAAAGTTTAACTCAATTTACTATAAACCAGTTTGTGCTGCTTTTATTGATTGTACAAACAGTGGAGCTCCAGGTGTAAGCTGTGCATAGGAATCTGTATAAAAGTCAAATTTACAGATGTTGTGTAGGATGGGGGCAAAGTTTGGAACATACTATCATAGTATCTAGACCACAGAAACACAGTCAGTCAAATTTAGTGCCGACCTATTTGATTTTTCAATAACATTCAACACTATCAGGGCATGAAGCCAATGAGCAACATATATTACTAACACTTTATCTTTAACAAAAACATTAAATGCACCGATTCTCCTCCTGGTCATTGTCTGATGGCTGTAAAAGTGTTTTTGTGTAACCGCTCCATTCTCATGGAAGTGCTGGAGTTTGTGTCATCAGAGGCTGACAGTAGGAAGTACCATCATGTGATGATTTTGTTCATGTCTTTGGTTTGATCTTAGCACTCTTAGACATAAAGGATCAGTATCTGTAAGTTTTAGCCCATTTACCAAGAATCATATATAGCGAACCATTTTCCAAAGAATATTAGTCTTAAAAATGTTTGATTTCTGCCACTATTCCACTTTCTTTCAGTAAAGACTGTTTCACACTTCTTGAATCCACAAATTCTCGCTGGATCTCACTGTTTCCTACTGCAGTGTAGGTATAAAGTTGGCTGAGTGTCATCATTGAAGTGAAGAAACAACTATGAGATAACGACTCATAGTCAAAGTCACACAAATGATAAAACAGACATTTACAGTCTTTTCTGTAATACTGTTGGAAACAAATACAAACAAAACATTTAAAGCCACTCGGTCCAATTTAACAACTTCAAGCCATTTCTTATATGGCATTCGCTTGTAGAAGCTGTTCCCCAAAGTCTTTCAGTTGCTAACAAGCAGTTAATTTCTAGCACCACGATTCAAATGCATTGTACTTTCAATTTGCTAAAACATGAAACCTGCTTGAGACGGGCAATAAATTTTAAATATATCTGCTTTTATTGCCTAAACTGTCATATATTGCAATATCTCAGGGCAAAGGCCTTATATCAGTCTTATGTCAGCTGCATTACCATGTAGCAATAAATGTTAAGTTATAAGTTTGACAATAATAAAAGTAGGCATTTCAAGTACATTTTAATACAATAACAAAATGTGTAGAAACAATTGCTGCCTGAATAGCAGGGAGATGCATTCAAAAATCTAAAACCGCTGGAGTTTTGGGGCCCTAGTGGTCTAACACACATATGATGTGACCACAGCATCCCCAGTTGGCATCTGGCGGAAAAATAAAATCTAAAATACTTGCACTTTGGAAAATGGTCAGCTGTAATGTGACATATGCGATAAATCGGCTAAAACATTCATAACCGCCTGCATGGTCCTTAAGTACAGCAAACATATAGTGCTTGGGGATACTATGTCCTTTTAGCAGGTTTGGCAGTAAGCTGTCTTTCTCTCTCAAGCGCCTTCTCACGTTTCTGCTCCTTCTCCAGCGCCTCCTTCTGCTTTTGCTGCTGCAGCTTCAAAGCTCTTTTCTGACAGGAAACAACAGTCAACATTTAATCTATATGGCCATTGTTTCATTTGCATTCACCACTATGCGCACCTTATCTTAAAGCATCAAGTGTACGAATGCTAGCAAAACAAATCTGACTGAGACGAGAGATACCTTTAGTTTAGTTGTTTTTTCGTGAAGAATAATCATCTCTTTCCTTATGTTCACCAGTTTATTGTGATAAAACTTCGCCTCTGTAAACTAAAGATAACAAACTGGATTAGAAATTATTCCTGCT